GGGAGAGGGAGAAGCAGGCTTCCCGCGGAGCAGGGAGCCCTATGCGGGGCTCAATCCCAGGACCCTGGGACCATGACCTGAGCCGAAGGCAGACGCTTAATGACTGAGCCACCCAGGCGCCCTAAAAAATGTTTTTTTGCCGTGTGTATTAAAATATTTCTAGATCTATATATTTAAAACCAGCTAGACTTGTCATCCAAAGGACTATATCGCCATCTTATGGAAGCCTCTAAATATCACAGGGTCCACTTTGATGCAAATAAAGTAATTTTGAAAAAGGAAATACAGCTGTTTCCCTTTGAAGTCACAAACTTACGCCATTTCAGGAAATTGAGTTGTTTTTTTAGAGCCAAATTCCATAAATAATCTACACCATCATCTTCTATTTAACTCAGAAGTGACTGGTAGTAGTCGAATGTAAATGGCCCAGACCAACCTCTGTTAAGGGGTCTAATTGTTCCTTTTTAATTTTTAAAAAACGTGTTACAATTATTCCAATAATACAAAGATCACAAGATCATAAAGGTGTCAAATTAAGATAAACTCCGTTTTGTCCTCCAGCTAGAGAAGAACTAAGATAAAAGCAAGCATTCAGGGGCCCCTGGGTGGCTCAGTCGTTAAGCATCTGCCTTCGGCTCAGGCCCTGGTCCCAGGGTCCTGGGATCGAGCCCCGCATCGGGCTCCTTGCTCAGTGGGAAGCCTGCTTCTCCCTTTCCCACCCCACTGCTTGTGTTGTCTCTCTCTGTCAAATAAATAAATAAAATCTTAAAAAAAAAAAAAGCAAGCATTCATCCTTCTGTAATTTCTTTCTCTAGTTTTGTGTACTTGCTTCTTTCGCATGCCGAGCACGTAGGCAACCTTCAACAAATGATTTTGAATAACTGAATAGGCTTTGCTCCCAAATAAGTAGTGAAATAAGTGATGGCACTGTCTCTGTAAGAAAACTGAGATGAGGGACCTGAGGGCTTGCACAAGGAACGCATATAGTAAACGTTATATTAATATGTTACTTATAAAAATAAAAAGTTACATTTGTTGTCTCAGATGCTAAGCCCACGTCTTGACTAGGCAAGGCTCCTGCTGTCAAAGTGTGAGCACTCACCCAAAGTGAGGGAGGTTTGTGGCCATGTGCAGTCACCCAATCGTCAGAGTAGCCGAGCATTCCCTCGATATACAGCCCTTCAGGCAACAGATTAAAAAACTGAAAATAGTCACTGCCTCAGACAGATCCATATAAGCCTGCGAATCATAGAGAATAGAGGCAATCCTTCTGTTGAACGTCAAGTTCATGGGGCGAAGGACCCTGGCATTCTGCTGTGATCTCATAAACCTGACCTGCTGACATGGTTCAGGGCAGAGGCACACAGACTGCAAAGGGCTTTGGAGTTAGACCCCCCACCCCCTCAATAGTTCCTTACTTAGTTCCTGATTTCTAGGTTGTTTCTCCTATGCTGGACCTAGATTTCTCCCTCACTCCTGAATTTCTTGATAAAATGTTAGCTTACTGAAAGACCTGCCAGAGGCCGGCTGAGCAATCTGTAGTGGGTGTCCCAGCCTCTGAGCCTCCGCGTCTGTGCAGCGAATCCAAGGGCTGAAACAAGCCCTAATGTCCCTCCCACATTCGACAGTTTAAGGATTTAAACATCACAAGATGTTTCCTTGTCGAATATTTTCTTCCACATGCCCTACGCATTGTACACTTCATGTATTTCTTCTTCAGCATACGTGGAGGGGCTTGTTTTTAAGCTACGCCTTGTAAATTAGTATTTACATAAATATATAAAAACGTACACACCAAAATTTGTGCCAAATAATCTACCAGCTTCTCTAGAAAGCTCTCTCGAAAAGTCTGCTATTCTGACAAGGTTTTCTACAGCACCTTCCCTCCTCCCAGGCAGTGTGCAATGTTCCGGCAGAAGACCTTCAAAATCTGCTTTTATCTCCTGTCCACTCTCTTCCTCAAGAATGAATTTTGAACCCAAAACTCTGTAGGATCTGCCTATTTTTGCAAACAATTAAGCAGGATCATCACACACCAAAAATGGAAGAGCGGTCTTCGGACTCTGATGCCTTAAACCGAATTTAAAGAAATTGTTTCCTACTGCACTTACCTGACCCCCAGGGCTGCAGGCTGCACCCAGGTGCTGCACAAACCAGGAATCAAGGGCTAACTAAATAAAATCATGCCTTCCTGCCATACAATTCCCTAGTGGGTTTAGCTGCAAAACAGCAGGAAGGGGAGGGAACAGAGTAAGGCACAAGATGTCTTGGAAGAACTTCAAAAATTGCAGCCACACTTGCTTGAGTCAGGTAGCATCTTCTACTGGTGCCGGTTCAGAAAACTTAGCTCCTTTCCCCCGTCCTTTTTAATAAAGGGAGAGAAAGCATGGTACACTTTCGAGTAGTCTGGAAGAAGGAATCCACACAGCAGGTGTCTTTCCGGAAAGTGATGTTTATGCCTTTGCTTCAGCAGCTTCCCTGCTGACCTTGGGCCAATTACGGGCCAACAGGACAAAACCGAAGATGAACAGATTATTTGAATTCCCGGACCATTGGAATGGACATCATTTAACTAGATCTCTCAAACTTCTGTGTAGACCCTTTGATTTTAGACACTTGTGTACATTAGAATTTCATGCTCGTCTCTACACACACACACACACACACACACACCCCATCGGCCATTGAGAGAAGCATGGTGCGATGATTTTTTTGATGCCATATAATCATTAATTTTTAATTTTTCCCGATCAGAGTCTATGAACATGGATCTCAAACTTAAAAATAGCATCAGGAGAACAAATGTACTCAACGCTGTGTTGAGAACCAACTCAGAGAACCTAGTCGGATTGCAGAGGCCACACAGAGAACGGGGTATGAAGGGTGTAGGGCAAGTCCCCCTGAACAGAGGCAACACCCTCTCTACTCACCATGCCTCAAAGTCCTCATCTGGACCGCAGGCAAAGCAGTCCCAACGTCCCAGGGAAGTGGCAGGATTTAATTCGGTGACCTGAGTCAAGGCGGTCTCTCTCCCACCATCCCATGGCAGGCGCACCTCTTGATCCCTGAAGGCACCCAGACACCTTCAGTCCTTTCTCAGAGGGAGGGAGCAGCAGGCTTTGCCCTGCTGACAATTCCTTTCTGCTTTTGCTGTCCCTGCCCTGCCCCATGTCCTCATCTCCAGGCTTCTTCCCTGTTTTCTTCCTCTACCTGGTCACCCTCTGGGGGTGTTCCGAGGTCAATCCCCTCCTTCAGCTGTCTGCTCTCTGCTTCCTTTCCACCTGCCTCTCCCGTGCTCACCTCTCTCTGGAGCTGCACACAGCATTGCACCCACGGGTGGGACCAGACAGTCACACGGGTCCCGCCATCCCAGCTGTTCTTTTCTGAATCCATCAATGGCGTCAGCACCCAGCCATCAACCCCGCCGTCACCCCAAGGCAGAACTTGAGAGCCACATCTCCTCCCAACGGCTGTGTGACGGGCCATGGCTGGCAGCCTTCACAGCTAGCCTCCCCTCCTTTCCCACTGTCTCTTTGCTGGACACGGTCTCCCAAGTCATCTCCTGCCTCTGGTTTTAAAGCCACCCTTTCCTCTGCCACTGGCCTGAGCTCCAGAGCACATTTGGGCACAGCTTTCCTTGCCTTCAATTCTTTGCCTACAAAATGAAGTCCCAGCACCTCATCCTGGTTGGCAGGCCCTTCGGGATCCAGCTTCCACCACTGTGGCTTCTCATACACCTCGTGGCATGTTGATTCAAGCAACACACGCAGGGGCCCTGCCGTGCTGGGTTAGCCCTCCAGGATGCCTCCTGGGCCACCTTCCTGCCCTGACACCAGATGAGAGGACTCAGATCCTCGAAGGCCATAGGCCATAACTTGAACACACCCCTAGTGTTGCATAATCCACGCTGAATTTTCATCACACCTTTCTGTGCCTGCGTCCCTCTCTGACCACGTGCTCCTTTGGAGGATTACCCATTTCAGCTTGCCTCCTGAATGCACAGGGCAGGTGGCTGTCATGCAAGGCCCTCTCCCCCTCAGCTCTTCTAGAAAGTTTCACTACCCTCTTTTCACCCCTTCCTCCATAGGGCACCAGCTTGGTCCCTGGAAGCCACCCTGGAGAGGCAGGCTTTCAGGTTCCCAGTGCTCCCCCTCCCCCTCCCCACGCCTAAGCCAGCCCTCTCTCCCAGTGCAGCCCAAGGAGGGGGAGCAGATCGGTTTCAGTAGGTGGATGTTGAGAGTAAACAAACAGTGGGGACTAGGGGCTCATGGCTTGGCAACTTTCATGGGAATACTTTTCTGATTACAGTCACAGCAAACAATGGGCTATTTACTTAACTTCTCTAGCTGTTAATTAGAGAGGAAATTCGAACGTTCCCTGCCCCCAAAGGGTAAGCAGCAGCCGTCCTGGTGAAGTGGCCTCATCCCCACTGGGTAGCAGCTCTGAAATGGAAAGTGTATATAAAGGCACACGCGGTTCATCTTTGGTCCATCATCAGGAGCAGGAGAGCAAGCAGGCCGTAGCACTCTGGGTTTGGCTTTATCCAACCTGTGGTGACTTCTTCAGGCAAGTGGCTCCTCCCTGTTCCCCTGGGAGCCCTTTCTCCCATACCTATCTAGTGGCTTAGCCTGCTCACCAATGGATGAATTTTTACTGAAAAGAAGTCTATTGATGTCCAGACAGGAAATGAGCTCTAAATGCCAGAAACCCGCCTAACACTTGCTCTCTACTTAAAATATATGCATATATATGTCTTATTTTACTACTCAGATGCATTACTGGAACCAGTTTGGCAAATTAACTTTAATATACAGATACAAAACAACAAATATAGATTCACAGCATTTACAAGAAATCATTCAAATAACATTGTAAATAATATTTTTTTTTTTTTTACAAAAACTTCATTCAACAGAAATACAGGTCAAGTTATAGCAGTCTTGTACAACATATTTCAGCTGTCAACAGCGAATTCATCAGTTTGGAAGCTGTCACGTGACTTAACATTGTCTTGATGTTGCGTTAAATTCAAGGAAAAGGTTACTAAAAGCCTGTAAAAGAGGTAAGTCAAACACAACCGATGCTAATATTTACAAAAAAGACCAATTACTAAATTACAGAATCCGTTAAAGTATTTTCTAAATACAAATGTCGATGCCTAGGAGATAACTAAGGACAATAACGCCAAGTGTGTTGTAACTAAAAACATTTGCATCAAATATGTAAGTTTCTGGGTTTTTCCTTTTAAGATCAGATAGTTGCTACTTCTTCTTCTCAAAACTGTTTGATCTCTACTTTCACTGCATGCATCCTGAGAATAACAGCATTAGCCAAGTGGAATTTTAATGAGAACATGTGTACGTTAAGCTTATAGGGACCAATGTTTTTGAGCAGTTTGACCCAGCTGATTTGTGCCTAGAGTCCCTGGCCTGTCAGCCATCAGAAGGACATGTATCCATACTTGTTAGTGCTGTCCTGTGAGGGACACATCTATATCTCCCCTCTTCCATAAAATAACAAGACATCAATTTTCTCCTTAACTCCAAGTAGATCAGGCTGTTCTATTCTGGCTACATAACTAAGTTGATGTGTACTGAGAAATATCAGCCATTTGGGCATGGAGAGTTTTCCAGCAGATAAATGCTGGACCATGGATTTTAGAAAAGATTTCTATTGTGAAACAAAGTTCGAATTAAATGCACTTCTGCTTTGTGTCTAGACAACAGCAGTGTAGGATTGAGGGGATTTTCTGAACAGGCATGGAGTTGGTCTTCATCTGGATTAGGTATAAAAAGGCACAACAATATTCAGAAATGGCATGGAGACGGGGGTGAATTGTTTTCAACGACAAAATCAGATCTACCGGGGAAAAGAGGAGATCTACTGAAAATAAAACTAGGAAGAAGGGACCCCAGGAAAGCTCTGGCACATTGCTGCCAGTCTTTTGCTTACTTGTAGGCCAAAGACGAAGAATGCTATTTCTCTAAGATTTTACAAAAATTCCATTTTATGACTGTTTACGATTTACTGCAAGGTGGTTGTGCATTTTAGGTATGATGAAAATCAAGAAGGTTGCTTTTGACCCAAGGCCATTTCAACTGTCTTCCAACAGATTCTGAAACATAAATAATAAATTAGGTGAGATGTGTCAAAGTGTTTTGCTATCTTTGTGAGACAGAGAGAGAGAGAGAGAGAGAGAGAGAGTGTGTGTGTGTGTGTGTGTGTTGTGGGGACATCCATATTATGCAATATGGGGTTAGAGTGAGGAAAAAGAAGGGAGAAAGCAAGATTCCCAATGAAATCCGTACAAAATCCATTTGGGAGCTCTTGGTTTCTCTCGTCTTCTTACCAAGTGGAACACAGGACTTACATCAAGAAGGAAAGTGGGGCAAACCTAAAATTCGAATACTTGAGCCACTATTCTTTACTGAACTCATGCATTTGGTAATAAAACTCAAGCTACATAGATTTTAAACAATTTCTCATTTTTCAAAATCACCAGTAAAGGCCAAGCAGGACCCATTCAGGGTGAGTACTGTATCAACTGACTCTTCACACTGCACCGAGCTCACGGGGGCGGCGCCGGGCCCCAGCTTTCTGCTTCTGCTGGAGAGTCCCCAGAGGGACAGGGGGCAACCGGAAGTTCGGGCTCAGGTGGGAAATACAGCGGGACTTGTCACAGAACTGAAAGCACTTCACTGCGCATTAGGAAACATTAGTAAATGGGAGCCCATTAAGTTCTTTACTTGAATTGAACCCTCACTGAAAATGTAACATAAGCAAATGGTTCTCTTTTCTTCCCTAATTTTCTTACTATTAAAAAAAAATAAAAACTATTCAAAATTGTTGTATATACAAACAACTCTGTTCAGCACAGAGACTCCTAGAGTTATTATTGCTGAGGGGTCCACAAAAAGCATTTTAAGTGTAGTTTTCAAAATAGATCATTACATCTTCTTAATAAAAAGGTCAGTTATATAAATGCAACTAAAATCGAGAGGTCTAGCCAAAAAGAAACAACACGTGCGTGCACACACACACACGCGTGTGCGCGCTCATACGCTCGGAGCCACAGTACCTCCTGGGAAGCTTCCTCACAGAAGCAACCTCTATTCTGGGACACTGGGTATCACGGTCCAGAGAAGCCGCCCCGGGGTCAGTGACCTCAGGGCAGCACAACCTTGCAGCCATCCTACGTACAAGGGAGCAATCACTGAGGCTGACCAGAAAACATTTCCAGTTAGTGCTCTAAGGCCCACTCCGACGTCCAGGATTAGGTCTTCTTGATGCGTGATGTCACCTCCTTCGGGACCGGTCCTGGGCAGGGCGGAAGGTGGGGAGGGAAGGAAGGACCAGACGTTTGGAGGCACACGTTCTATCTTTGTCTAGGATGTTACGGGTTTGTTTACGCTCCAGCACAGGCCTACTGGAAAATGGGACTTTCTGAGAGTAGTGTATGAAAAGGGGATTCTCACACAGAAAACCAAAGTGTGGACTACGATACCCCCGTCCAGTGCACTAAGTACATTTAAATGGCCTCTCCCTTGCAGAACCTGTCTTCTCCAGACATATTTAAAAGTTATTTTCATCAACATTTACAATATAGACAAAGAGAAGGAGATTACTGTCACCACGTATCAGCCCACGTGGCCTTCATTAAAAAGACAGCCATGTCTGAGTCTAGATGTACTGTTGTTAAGGTCTCTTAATAGAGAAAGAACCTTCAGAACCCTCCTGACAGGTTAATAAGGGCGGGGTTAGCACTACCATTTGGGGTTTATGCAACAAAGTCGGCTTCGAATCCTGAGGAAGGTGGGCTGCTGGGAACCGCATGTTTTCTGGGTGGAATGTTCAAGTCACTGTAACTTAACTGGTGGGGACGCCAGAAACAACGGGTGGGGAGAACGCACTGACGCTCTGAACATGCCTTTCCACAGGCGCGTGTGCGTATCTCGCTTACCAGAAAATTAAGTAAATGGGTTTTTATATTGCAAACGGATAGGTCTGATTAGTTCCTTAGGTCATGACGTGCAAGCAGGTGTGATTTCTGTCTGGAGAGTCAATGCTGCACACACACCGCGGGAGGGGACCTGACTCGAGAAGGACAGTCCACCCCATGGTAGGGTTTTGCACTTTCTCCCTGGAAAGCAGCTGCCTCCTCAGGATGCTGAAGGCGCCCGGACCGTGTTCCACGGGAGGGATTCATCGCGCCTCTCCCTCTAGCCTGTCGGGGACGCACCTCGCCAGAGGAAGCTGGCACTACCACTTGGTAACAATTCAGGGGACACCAGGGGACGCCACGGCCATCTGCTCTGCGGCGCTACGTTGCCTAATACTGTGGAAGACAGCTACAGCTTGCCCGTGCTGGCGAGACACTACCGTACCAACCCCATCACGACTGTCCCCTGGGAATCCACATGCCAAAGTGGCACTGTAATCGAGGCCCTCCTCAGGAACGGCAGCAGGGAGCGCGCCCGTCATCAGCGATGCCCACTGGGGTCACAGCTCAGCTTCACTGCAGAGCAGGTCACAGGCTCCCGCGGCCCAGCCACCTTGGCACAGGTCCCAGAGGGGTCTCGTGGACGTCAGGGCCATGCGTCATGACCTCCATCTCCCTTCCAAGGAGCTGGGTCTTCAGAGGCACCTCGGTCACGTCCAAGACCTTCTATTCTTCACCCATCCCCAAAGGAAGTTTTCAGCACTGGGCTGAACACACAGAAATGGTTCTCCTCTTTACAGACACCTCAGCCAACGCATGGCCTCCCGTTTTCATTTCTTGAAAGGGGTGAGTTTGTTGAACGTGTGCCAGAAGAGCGACGGCTTCCTCTTGGGCTCGGCCAGGGCAAACACCTGCTGCTGGGGGACGCTGGTGGGCACGGTGACGTGGCGCTGGTGAAGGGGGTGCAGGCTCTGGTGCGGCGGGGCCATGGGGCATCCGCTGTAGCCTAACTCGAGAGGGGAGAAGGGTGGAACATGGACCCAGTGTCACTCGTTAGCCGAAAAGGAAGACTCGATTCTTAACTTGATCCTTAATTCATATGAACGCAAAGTACATCTAGAAGCCATCATAACAGCACCTACCAGTTGCTGTGAGAATGAAGGGAGCTAGGAACGCGCTGAGAACGCTTAATCGAAACGGTTTCATTGGAATAGGCATTTTAAATCTGCGCAGAGGTAATGAGGAAGGCCTAGCACAATGAGCTCCAGGATCACAAGCTAACCATCAAAGTCAGAGTGACAGGAGGAAGGAGCATGCTCTTAGAAGGAGCCAGGACTCAGTTCAGAAGGCATCCTGGCCCTGATCTGCCACAAGGCTCTCCCGGCCTTCCCCGGTGAGAGGTGCCTGGCAGGGGACCACCCACCACCACCCACGTTCTTTCCATTTCGGTGCCTAGTTGCTGAGCCAGTGACTCCTGGAAAATGCGGACACCAACTACTACAGTCTAACAAATGGATATTTACTGGTCACCTGCCATTGAAGTGGAGATTCAAAAAAAGAACAAGACAGGGTTTTTTTCTCTTCAAAGGTATTTATCACTTTGTGGTGGGGGGGTGGGGGGAATTCTGCCTTTGAGCGGAGGGAACAGGGAAATGGGAATGCTAAGGGTTGTTTTGGTAATGAATTCTTCTTGGCCCTCAGCTGATGGCACATCACCATCCTGGGCTTAACTGCGTGTTCCTTTTGCACTTTCAGTTACGAAAATCCTGAATGGGACATATTTCAGAGGATAAATTGTTCTTAAGAGTAGGAAGTCAATCTGAAAAAAAAGTTCTAAGAATATAACAAATATTTTTGGAATAAAAATCCTTATTATTTTATTCCTGTTGGGTGACATCATGTGTATTATCGGCACTGTAAAAAAATCTTTGCGCATCAGGACGATGGGGCATGACCTGAGTGAGTATTGGTCATCTTCAGTAGCTGCTCAGGCAATTCTAATGTGCACGGAGGGTAGGGAGTCCTTGCTCTAAATAAGCTACTGTGTCTTCTTTTCAGCTCATTTCTCGATGTACTGGATTTTTAGACCTTTTTTCTTACCTACACTAGAACACAGCCTGCACTGATAAGGAGTTTGGGGCTGGAGATTTCCTCCATGTGCGCCCAAGACACGCAGGAGCTGCTGGTTTGCCTCAGACCGCTGAACTGGTTGGCCGGAGGCAGAACGCCAGCACAACCTCAGGATGGGGAGGTGCCGAAGCTCTTCGGTGCCAACTCAAAACACATCTTACAGGCTCATGTTCAAATGTCAGCAAATACTGAAGCATACTCACACTCAAAACCAAATGCAGATTATTCTAAACCACCCATTTGCGGGGGGAGGGGGGGTGTCTATCATTTTGAGTTTCACCTGTACGTCTCTCTGTTGTTGAGAGCTGGTCCTCAGTGCGCTGACGACCTCAGACATTCGCGATTTTAATTCCCATACTGATATACATGAAGGAGATAAGGAGATGAAGCCTTCTTCAAAACTTACCTTTTGACTTTCCATGTCCTGCCTTTTGAGCATTTAACATGGCGAGTTTCTTTTGATTTTCTGAAATTTCCATTCCTGGATTTAGGAACAGACATGAGAAACATTCAAAACAGGTGAAATAAGTCAATCAGAGAAAGACAGTTATCATATGATTTCACTCATATGTGGAATTTAAGAAACAAAACAGAGGATCATAGGGGAAGGGAGGGAAAAATAAAATAAGATGAAATCAGAGAGGGAGATAAACTATATGAGACTCTTAACCATAGGAAGCAAACTGAGGGCTGCTGGAGGGGAGGGGGCGGGGGCTGGGTAACAGGGTGATGGGCATTAAGGAGGGCATGTGATGTAATGAGCACTGGGTGTTCTATGCAACGGGTGAATCACTGAACTCTACCTCTAAAACTAATAATACACTATATGTTAATTAATTGAATTTAAATAAAATGAAAAAACAAAAAACAAAAAACAAACCCCAAACAAACAAGTGATGCCATTACAGAGTAAAACCAGAACCAGAACCCATACTAACCCTGAGGTGTTCAACATAACCCACAGCAAAGAACCTTACTCCTCGAGGAACTGTAAGAGGTTGAAAAGATTACAAATGGAGAAGGAGCAAGGACTGTCACCAGGATGGACACTAGGACGACATCCTGCCAAGCAGGACACGTTAACGGGTGCTGTGGGGCAGCGCGAGCACCAACGACAGACGCCGACCGAACGCCGCCCGTAGGAGCTCAAGCTGCCACTCCTGTCCCGCAGCAGGCTTAGAAGCACAGCTGACCCTTGAGCAACATGGGGTTGGACGGCGTGGGTCCACTTATACGTGGGGTTCTCTTGATAAATACAGGGCAGTGCTGTAAATGCATTTCCTTTCCTTATGATTTTCTTAACAACATTTTCCCCTAGCTGACTTTATTGTAAGAATAGAGCATATAATGCATATAACACAGATGTGTGTTAATGGACTGTGTTATCGGTAAGGCTTCTGGTCAGCAGTGGGCTAGGAGAGTGAAGTTCTGGGGAAGTCCAGAGCTACATTTGGATTTCTGACCATGTGGGGAGGCGCCCCAACCCCCACGTTGTTCAAGGGTCAACTGTATTCGGGATTTGCGGATCCTGCTTCTTTTTGCCGGGGGGGCCGTTTCACTCTGGGAGGGGGCTGGCCTCTGGGGCCAGCGCCTGAGGCCGGAAGGCGGAGGCACTGCTCACCCATCTCGCGGTCCTCCTGCACGCGCCGCCTCTCATCCCCGCAGGCCTGCAGCCACCGCGCCTTGTCCTCTTGCTTTTTGGCACAAAACAGATGAACTTCGTCAGTGGTTTTGCTGACAAGCTTGAAAGCGTTCTTCACGTTGAGGTTCCAGTCCTTGTCCCGTCCGTCCTCCAGGTCCACGAGCTGCACCTCATCCATGTCCGTGCGGCCTCTGTAGTAGAGCACGTCCCTACGCAGCAGGTCCTTCTTGCAGGACACCAGCTGGTGGTCAAACAGGAAGAACGTCCGCTGCTGGCTCTTGCCATGCTTGGTGATTTTGGTCAGCTCCCCAGAATGGATCAGTTCGGAACTTCGGTCTAGGATATCCAGCCCCTGCAAGGATGGACACATATTTTAAGACCTTCCCATTTGGATTCCTTGAGAATGTGTCACGGATACAAGAACAAGTCCTGACACACAGTCTTTCTCCGACTTTCCAGTTACAGGAGGTCCAGTCACAGCTCAGCAGGGCGAAAAAAAGGCCACTTACACCTCGGGTGGTTCGTCTCCTTGTGTGTGAAACTTCTTTTATTTCCTACCCTGTGGGAAAATGTTACAGCGCCTCTGTGTCATCCAAAGGGCCTTCCTTACAAGGAAGGACTGGTGATAAACGCGCTGGATGAATGGGCTCCAATCAGTCTGGAATGGCTGCTCCCCAGAGAATAAGGACACCAAGGAGGCTTTCTACGGGGGGCACTTAATGCTACAGACTCTGGGGCTCTGGCTTTTGAGTCTGGTATGTATAGTGGCTCCCAGAGTAATAACTAGCTTAGGATCTTGGAAATAAAAGACCAGACAGCAAATTGCCAGCAAGGTATCGGTAAACTTCTGACAATAAATTATCCCCTAAATGTCACAGTCCAAGAACACAAGGGAAAAACACATCTTTATAGTATTAGGTTGGGTCTAACCCAATGGAACTGTGTGGTATTTGGTACAACACTGGCCTTTGATTTATAAGATTTTATCCTCCTTCAATCCTAGTCATATACAATATTTTGTAGAGGCAAAAAAGCTTGACTCCAAAATAGTTCTTCTACTTGCTTGCCTAGAGCAATTCTGTGCCCCAGATTCTTCACTTACAAAGTAAGAGAGTTAAACACAGTGATGTCTAAGGGCCCATCCAAGCTCCAGAAGGCTCTACGGCCCCGTAAATAGACGTATTTCTTTCCAACGTTCACTGCTATAACCTACTTTAGTTAAAAACCTAACTTCTCAGTCCAAACTCTCTTAATCCTTAGGGACAGTGAGTTCTGACCAATTAGTTTAATGTACGATGAATTGTGCTTGGTCTGAAAAAAATCAGAACAACATTAGTTGTTCGAGCAAGCCACTTAATCTTGCCATGTTTCCATTTCCCTATCTGTTAAATGGGAGTAACAGTAGCTCCTACCTCATAGGATTATTGAGAGGATTAAATGAGTTCACATATAAAAATGGTTTAGACCAGTGCCAGGCATGTGGTAAACACAATCAGCGTTGTTTTTATAAATAAATGTTTGTGCATGTGTGCACACATATGCACGCAGGACCATCATGACAGCTCGAGCCAAGCACTGCATTTGCCACCATCTTATATAATCCTCATGAGAGCTCTATGGATATAGCTAATATTTTCAACCCCATCTTAAGGATGAAAATCTTAATCTTGCCCAGATCATACCCAATTCAAACACAGGCAGTGTGAGTCCAGAGTCCATACTCCTACCACACTGTTTGTATTTTAAATGTTCTCCAGGGGCTCCTGGGTGGCACAGTCAGTTAAGGGTCCAACCCTTGGTTTAGGCTCAGGTCGTGATCTCAGGGTCATGAGATCGAGCCCCATGTCCTGCTCCGCATTCAGATCAAAGTCTGTTTAAGACTCTCTCCCTCTGCCTTTCCCCACCCCCAACTCGTTCTCACTGTCAAATAAATAAGACTTTAAAAATGTTCTCTAGTTGCTCTGATGGAACGTACTTTCTAGCAGGAGAGACAGAGCGTAAACAATAAATTAATTACAGACACTCTTCAGAGTTGATTTTTTGGTGGAAGTGAGTTACTGGTAAAGTAGCTGACTGTTAAGTTCAACCACCTGCTTCAAAATATATATACCATTAAAGCCAAGAATATAACGAATCAATCACAGGATGTCACAGTATGTCATCAAACTAGACTAGAGTGAGGGAGGGCGTGAGCAGTGCTGGGCGGCGGGGCAGGTGCAGGAAGGGGTGCTCACTTACCTCCCAGCCGACGATGGACACCTGCCACCGTGCTATCTTGTCTATGCTTTCCAGCCTGCGCTTGCGCTCATTGATCAGACAGGCTACGTTCTTCATGGCTTCATAGGCTGCCTTTATGTTGCTGTAGTCACTGTAAAGTAGGAGGTTCATTTTAACCATATAACCTGAAACTCACAAAGCAGGGCCGACAAAGTAATACACTCCATCCTGGATTTTGTATACTAATAGTCTAGATAAAGTAGCATTTAAATAATGGCCATTGTTTCCTTTTTCTCTTTCCTCCATGAATAGACCACAGTCTCCATAGGTTAAGGGAACTGACTGAATGCAATCCAGAATTCTTCGGAATAAGAATGTTTTCATGCATTTCCCAGAAATCACAGTGAATGAAAGTAAAGGCCACAAGAAATAAGTTTTAGTCACAGTGACAATGGATTATTTTCACTAATAAAGAAAGGACAGTCTTTATGACTGTTTTGGTTCTCAGACAGCCAGTTTTGCTATATAAAGTACTTTAATAATCACTAACCATTCCCAAGAGTAATTATTTGCTCTGAGTCTCATCTTCTAAGATGTTCAAGAAAGGGACACAAAGAGGACACAAGCCACAGAGGCCTGACTTGATGAACTAGCCTCTAAAACTGTAGGTACCAGGAAAACAAACTACAGTTCTAATCACCACACAGACTACAGCAGAGCGTGGCTTGTACTGGAAAGTTTGACATTCAGGTTTTGCTCAGCGTTAATAATTTGGGGACACATAAACCAATCATCTAGCTAATGAGCTGAATTCTTTACTTTCCAGCACTTTCCTGTGTCTTATGAGATAGACAGAGCCTTTGAATCTCAGTGGCACCGAATTAGATCCTCCTGCTCAGCAAGGAAAGAAAGCCTTGGAAGCAGATTCTATTGTCTATTTACCAAACACAAATAACTCAGCCCCTGGGAAGTCCCTGGACATTCCCCCACAAGGCAGACCCTGCTGCCTCTAGACAGGCCTATTCACACTCAGCAGCAGAGCACAAAGGAAGAACAAAATAGACACAAGGGGACTGTCCAAATAATGGAGCAACCAGTCACCCCAGGCCTCCAGCAATGAAGAAAGTGTACAAAATAATTGTACATTTTTCCTACGAGTTTTCCTGTCAATTCTAGGAAAGAGGCAGAGTATAATGTTTTTTTGAAAAAAAAAAAAAAATTGTTTTGTTTTCCTGAAGACAAGGAAATGGGTTTTCTGTCATTTCCTTTAAAAGGATTTTTTTGGGGCGGGGGGGGCGGGGAATAGCCAAAGTATGCAAATGCCTCATAGTGAAAAATGCCCTTAAAAGAGAAAAATTAACTGCTGAAGGATGATGTATAGACTCTTGGTCATACCTTACCCATCTTGGAATGTACCAATCTGCTTGCCCCCGTCTGTCAGGATGTCTCTGCTTCTTATTCTCTTATATGTTTTCTCTAGCTCCTCATCATCGTGTGTTTTTATTCTTTAACATTTTCTGCAAATTTGTGGCTCTCTTGACTTTGCTATTTTCCTTGCACTCATGTTTTCTGATTTTTCCATCAGAAAAAGAAAAAAAATATATGTATATAGCTCTCTTCCCTTTTATCTATTTCAATGAACTCCTTTCTCTTATTCCTTTAATCTTAATTTTTTAAATGGACATCCACATCTAGGTTCTACTGTTTGGCAACCTAGCTCTTTTTTTCCTTCCAGCTTCCACTCTAATTGCAAAAAGATCCCTTTTGCAAGCTCCGTGGCTCCACAGGAGTCCGGCAGCAGACAGGATGAAAGAAAGCTCCGTTCTGCACACCCTGCAGGGCCAGGCGCTGCCATGGATAATCTGACTGCTCTCAGGGCGACACTTAGCTGTTAAAACCCACAACTGTTGTGGTTTGGCACAGCAAATTTCCTCTGGGTACAACCCTGTCCCCCCGCCCCCAATACTAGAACCTCTCAAGATCGTCTGTTCAAGGGCTGCAGGTGCACTGAAAGCTTTGTACCAGTGACATGGATGTCACAGGTGAAGTGTGGTTCTTACCTAAAACAGTAAGCTTTATCCTAAAACCTTGCCCACTGGCATTCCGGTTCTGGCCTGGTGAGAACACAGCAATGACCCAACCAGTGCCAGCTAAAGGCACCGCACAGTTGGGAACTGCACATCTCGGGGAATGGCATAGGATGGCATGCCCATTCCAACACTGAATGGGTGAGATCTTACAAAAAACCACAGCATGGTTATACATTATTCTGCACATGCAGGAAAACAGGGAGTTGTTATTAACTAAGCAATGGATAACTTTTTGGCTCCCCTAGAAGAACTTAGTTAAGGACAAAGCAAGTCCCACAAGGAAATGGAGCATCTGGGTAACCATGATGAGAAGCCCCGTGTCCAAGCACAAGGGGATGGGGCGGAACAGATCACGGAGACGGAGCAAGCACCCAGGTTGGGCGAGAAAGGTCTTAGGGGCACTTGGGTGGCTCAGTCAGTTGAGTGTCTAACTGGTTTGGGTTCAGGTCATGGTCTCAGGGTTGTGAGATCCAGCCCTGTGTTGGGCTCTGCGCCCAGCAGAATCTGCCTTGATTCTCTCTCTCTCTCTCTCTCTCTCCCTCTGCCCTTCCCCCTGCCATGCATGCTCTCTCCCTCTCTCTTTCTTTAAAATAAATAAATCTTTTAAAAAAAAGAAAGGGCTTAGAGCTGAACAGGACCTCAGCGGGATGCTTCTCCAAGCTAACCCTTCACTAACTGTATCCTTGAGATTCCCCACTCTTCAGAAGTTTAAACTTCGGTAGTCCTCACCCTTCTGTAAAGTAACTTTTTGTTGCAATACATGATACTGCTCTGAGGGTGAGCTGCCCTAGGAGGGGAAGCAAAGTATTTCTGAAACTGTATTCACATTGGTGTCTTAAAAATTGTTCTTTTAACTACAGCATAGCTACAAAAGAGGATCAGACATCAGTTTTAAGGACCAACAGTACAATACAAATCCCTGTGTGCTCATGACACAGTTTAAGAATTATTCTTAATTTTTTAGTATCTCTAGGAATGGATATTCTGGAGCCTCTTCAATGACCCTGTTTCAAGACCTCATAATCTTGAACATTCTAAGCAAAGTGACAATTTCTTCCATGAGGCTAACCGAGAGTGTCAGGAGGACACCTAAGCCCGCCTGCCGCCGCCGCTCTGCGCAGCCCTGAGTGCCGGCCCGGGGACCCAGGGCGCGCGGCCGAGAGAGGCTGCGTCGCGTAGGGCCCGTGGCGCGCGCGCCGCCCTCACCTGTGCTCCTGCGTGGTGTACTTGAGCAGCTCGGCCAGCTGCAGGGGGTACTTGCAGATCTTCTGCACTGGGGTGAGCAGGAAGCCGTCGATGGCGATGTCGATCATCTGCTGGAGCAGGCGGCAAGCTTCAAAGAAGTGTCTGTACCTGCCCTGCTTCATCAGGTTGGACAGCTCGGCGCAGGCGCCCGGATGGTTGTTACAGTACTCGGAATAGATGGCAAAGCCCTCTTGCTGGGAAGGGAAGCGCAGCGGCGTCAGGTTATCGGCAGGCATTGGGCCATGATGTGGCTGGAAGGGAGGAGGGGCTATCTTTGCGGGGTGGGGGCTCTAGGACTCGGTGCCCTGGTCCCACTCGAAGGCCCCTTCCGTGTACCCCAAAAGTCGCACGTGGCTTCCCTGGGAGAGCGGCACCCGCTGCACCACCATGTCCGCCCTAGCTCTGCTCTAAGGAAAAGGCAGGCACTAGGCACAAATCCAACTCTCTCCCCGTCGTCCTCTGATAGACGTGGTCGTGCCCATGACCAAGTGAGCATTCGAAGCCACCACCCGCTCCCCTCACTGCGCCCCTCTTTAACATCCTACCACCTGGCTTCCACACACTGTCCCCTCTGACGTCCGATCGAAAGCCCCCGGCCCACCTCCTTTCTCCTCCGCTTCTCGCTCGCAGGCTGCCGCCGCCCTGCCAACCCCATGCACACGGCCTGGGCTTCCCCTGGCTTCGGTGGCGGCCGGGCTGCCGGCTCGCAGTCGTCTCCCCTGCCCACAGCTGTGGGTCCTGCAGCCTGCGCCCGCCCCACGGTTTGTCCTTATCCATGCTCAACACGACAGGTCTCCCACCAGACTCCTACTTGCCTACAAGACAGGTTCTCCTAACCCACCCATCAATTCTTTGAGACCCAACAACCTGCAGGCGGTTCGGACTGCCACTTTTCGATGTTCCCCAAGACCAGTTTCGTCAGCTGGTTCTCAGAAATTCCCACGCTGACATGGCTGTCCTTCCGCATGCCCACTGCAGCCACCCCTACCCCGGCCCCCTCTGCCCGGAACACAGCAGCCACACCTCGTCCCTCAGCTAGACTCTGCCGCAAGGCCCACACAGTCCAGAGGCTCCACCTTCCCTAGGCCCTGCCCCGCCTGCAGCCTGACCTTCGCTGACCTCTGAAGCCTCTCTCTTGGAACCTTCTGCTCTGGCCAAACAGGCCCGGTGCGCTCGTGGGGCTGATCTTCCTGCTGCTGCGGCCACCACAGCGTTAATTTCAGCTGTTTAAAGTTAACCCACTCCGGAGGGTCCACTCGGCTTCCACTGCCTCTGTGTCGTCACTGCTGTCACTAGTCCAATGACTACACCCACTGGGCTGGGAATAAAGTCTCCTTCCTCTGAAACCTCTTAGTATTAGACACAGGCAGTCGCTCCCCAGTTTTAAGCTCGCCATGATCACAAGACTGTTCTGAGGCACTTTCGGTGCCCCAAGCAGGGGTCCCAGAGCCACACACCTCGGTCTGAATCCACACCTGCCCCTTACTCAGGTGTGACCTTGCGTCAGTTACTCTCTGGGCTATAGTTTATGCATGGGGAAAATGGGGAAAACAATCATACCTTCTCCGTAGCAGTACCCGAGCTAATATAAGCAAACCCGGGAAACACTGCTTAACATACAATAGTCCCTTAATAGGTATTATGAGAAATTACTCCAAACACAACCTCCTAAAACCCTCAAAGCTGCATAAAAGCGGGAAGATTCTGAAATCTGGAGGTATTTAGGTAAAGACTAACCATATAAGCCAAGCAACTTAATTTACAGCTGACATCTCCATTCCCTAGGAGATTAATCCAGCAAACAAAGCAAGAAACAAAACAGAACAAGAAGGACTCCTTTCTAGAATGGAGAAACATTTCAAAATTATTTAACCGGATGTTATATTAATAAGAAATAACAGGTGACATACATGTTGAAGAAAGCAGGATCCTATTTCACTTAAATGAGGTTCCTCTTTATTGTATTGTTTCTCAAGGTCTTTCAGGAACTTTCTTTGGAATTTGTAAATATCTTCAATGTTTCCAAAAATGGTGGCTAGTTGTGCAACAGTGAACATTCCCGTGTGCTTGCGACACTGTCGAATATAGCCCTGCAAAACAGCAAAGTAAACTTTTAAAAATTAATCTGCAGAGTCACAGAAATTATTTAGTTGAATAATATAGCTTTTGGGGCCCAAAGCCATTATCTTGGAAGGGATTTTAATGAAAGAAAATTATTTTAACCCTACGGGTCCCTGTTGGGATAAACATACCTCCGTGACTCCAGGGTGCTATGAATATTTTAAAAACAAAAGGGAAGAGAACAGGTGCATGTGGCTGGATGTGTAAAGCAAGAAACTATGTAATAAAGTTTTCAGATTATGCTCCTGAAACAAAGTTGCTTGGTTTCAAATATTAAAGCTCCAACACTGGGACTGTCACACTTTTTTCTAAACTCTTAAGATAATCATTCTCCCATCCCTAATTTCATTTCACAGCTGAGAAGACCTGTCAAATACAGAAAGCCACAGCTTGCTGAACAGCTCATGCAGCCGGCTCAGTGTCACGGCAAAGAGCCAAGAAGATCTTACCCAAGGATTCCACCATCACCTACTTTCTATATAGAGCATAAAGCTGCAGATCTTTAATCCAAGGCCTGCACGGATTAGTGTACTATTCATTCTCCCCCTAGTTGTACTATGGCTGGGGTAGGAGTTAGTGTGGTGGGAAGGAAAGGCCATACATATGTGTAATACTTATCCCCACATCAGCATCTTGTAATTACACAGCCTAAGTGGCCTGGCTGATAAAATACATACCACTGACTATTTGGTATGAACTTTAACAGAAAGACAATGTAAAGGTTCAAAATACAGGCTCTAAGGCAGACTGGTTTAAATCCCAACCCCACCACTTTACTTGCTATGTACCTCAGTTCCCTCATCTGTAATGGGGGGGTGGTGATAACAGGACCAGCTGATGAGAGCGTTTGTAGAAGTTAATCCAGGTTGAGGGATGGCACAAAGTCAAAGCTCAACAATCATTAGCCATGACTTATTTTCCTAAAATGGCAGTTTAAAGAAACTCCCTTAACTAGACACTTACATGGAAAAAGATTGTTAGCATCAATAAGATAAACATTGCTCAATCTTTATGGGGCCAGTTAATCCGATTCCAAAATGGGCACTTGTCTCGCTTCAGCTTGTCTTCAGCGCTGAATGTTTGCAGCTGAGCTGAGAGTGCAGAACTCAGCATTCACAGCCAGGACAGCGGAATGAGGAGACAGGGCCAACACCAATGTAGCATCAGGCTCATACAGAACCCACAGAGACAAAGAATATCATGGGAGAAATAGAATTTACCGCACAGTAGAATACCATGACACTGCAGAACATGGCCTAGGATGTCACTAAGTAAAACCGATTTTTCTTTTTTTTTTGGTCTGCATCTACATGACTCAGAACCTAATCTGTGAGTCAGTGATTAGATGTAGTGGGATTGTAAACAGTGACAGACCTTTGTAAAATTACGTGGGTTTCACTGAAAGGGTGTTGCCTCCTCTGAAAGTCGTTCACTCTGAATAACCTCGGGAAGTCAGTCCTCAGAGAGATAGTTGCATAGTGCCCAGAAAAGAAAACTGACTACAACAGAGAGCCACTGATGCTCACCAGGGCAGATAAGTATTTAATGAGGGCGGAGTCTGTACAGGGACCACATGGGCAGAAAGCGGCAAGGAGAAGGGAAGACTACAAAAAGTAAGTATATAAAATGAGGGTCTGACTGAGGACCACCGTGGCCAGGCCACAGGGCCTGGGGTCTTACCTCACAGATGTCCTTGAGGTGCTTGATGTACACCCGCTCAGTGTTCATGATCTCCTGGATGACATTGGTCCTCATCTGGTGCTTGCTCTCCGAGTGTTTGTGGCGGTTCTTGCCGGCATCCTCCTCCTGCTCCTCACCCTGGGTGCTGCTGGAATTCTCCGACAGTTCTTCCTGATTGACACGCAACTGCGGGCCACACACAGGTGACAAGTGACTTGGGGGGAAGGCCCCCCAGATTTCCACTTCTCCAGGCTGTGAAGAAGACAGCCTGGCCCGAGGCTAAGTGTTCAAGTACTCGGCAGAGCCACGGCTGGGCCAGTGGCTCCAAGCATGGCAGCAATGCCAAACAACCAGATGACCATGGTTGAAATGTTTCCTTCAATCCAGTCTAATTTCTGAAAGCTTTCATTTAAATGATTACAAAGAACTGAACCTGCACTGATTGAGTGGACTTGAGCCTGACAGCATGGTTCTACCGCTCCCCCACAGACCGTCGTGAGAAGGGCTTGTAAGCGCCGCACACTTACTCTGACAAAGCTTGCGGGGAACCAGGCTTCCTTGTCCTCATTCCGGCCCCACCACCAGTCCTTGTTAGAGGCTTCCAGAACCTGGATGACATCTCCTGCCTTGAAGCCCAGTTCCTGGTCATCCATGGTCACGTGGTCCCACAGGGCTTCTGCACAGACCACACTGCCATCACCGATCAGCTGTAATGGGGACATGTGCTTAGTGCAAAACCAGGCAGGCAGAAGGGCAAGGGACATGCTCTCCCAGGAGGGGCATGGACACTTTCTACCTCATACTTGCACACACTGTTGGCTTGTGGTCAATACTTCACATTTGACTGTTACACAAAATGAGTTTCCGTATTATGGAAAACAAAATGAGGTGGGCGTCTCTCATACGCTCTTAAAGGAAACCCCAAATCTACTTTTTTTTTTGTAAGACAGTATAAAAATGGCTCACTGATCTATATGTCAGTTACCTAATGAATGTGAATATCTGGAATATTCACCCCCAAAATGGTTTCTGAGCAGACAACACGGAGCCAGGCCTCTAATGATTATGCACATACTTTATTGCCAGACCCTCACGACTTCCCCTAGAACTTACTCTTCAGACTTCATTCACAGTCTGAATAAAATTTTAATCTAACTTTATCATCCACAACCATTCAAGAAAACACAGCCTGATCTACAGATATTTAACAGCTACTTTAAAAAGGAAAGGATAGACACAACTCACCTGTTAGTCAGCCACAGGGGTGGATGGCTGCAGGTCCCCTCAGCCCCCCGGGACATCATCATATTCTACAGCAACAACTGGTATTACTAACGGAGATGCTAACTCACTGAGAACTGACACTCCACATGCTCAATTCAAGAACTCCAAAAGCTAGTAAGTGCCTTCTGGAAAGATTTCCATAAAAAGGGCTGAAGATGCACAGTGGTGGAAAGAACACCCGATTTGTAGTGAGAAATATGTGGTTAATTTCAGCTCTGCCTTTTACTAGCAAATGACACAGCCTCTTAGTTTCAGAATATTAAAATACGGGTAATAACTGCAATTTTAACATCTACCTCTTAGATTGGCTGTGAGATCTTTCTGAGATAATGTTAGGAACAGCATTTTGTAAACTGAAAAGCACTCCCCAAACACCAAGCAGCAGTCGCTGCCTTTATTAAGTAGAGTGGTGAGCGAGCTTTAGTTATCTGGAAAACTTAAACGATCCTCGAAAATGCTAGAATGTCAGAGTTCTAGATTTTAGAATATGTTTGGTAAGAAATAATCAAGGGGGGCACCACTGGGTAGCTCAGTCAGCCAGGCGTCCGGCTCCTGATTTCGACTCAGGTCATGATCCCAGGGATAAGGAATCGAGCCCCACGTTGGGCTCTATGCTCAGCGGGGAGTCTGCTTGAGATTCTCTCCCTCTGCTCCTCCCCCAACTCATGCTCGCTCGCTCTGTAATAAATAAATCTTTTTAAAAAGAGAGAGAGAGGAAAAGAAGAACCAAGAGGGCAAAGTCTGAAGTGATTCTGCCCCCTGAAAATGGAGCATCCAAGGCTTGCCACTGTTGAGCGTGAGCCCAGTACCTCGTTGATGGCCAGCTGCTCCCCACCCGGCTGTAGGTATCTGGGGTTGGCCTGGCACAGGTCTTCATAGCTATAGTCCTCCTCACTGCCGTTGTCATCCACTAAGGCCGCAGACTCTGCACCTCCATCTGAAGAAACTAGAAAAGAAATGGCATGGCTTATGGTTAAAAGGACACAGCTAACAAAAAAAACATTTTAATGACAAAATAAATGACCTTTGAGAACATGCCGCCAAGGGGAAGCAATCATTTGTGTCGTACCCAGAATAAGGCATCTTTAGAAAACTCCCACAGATCTATCGATCCAAAGGTAGCAGTCACGCGCGGAGCCGGGGTCGAGTGTTACAGTGAGCGGGAAGGTGAGCATTTCAGAGAAGACTGCCGATGTTAACACACAGCATTGTTTTGTCACTTAGGATACTGAGTAAACTATGTGTGATCTGCCTGGCAATTTGTGCTCCACAGTGGACATAAAATACATAAAACGCAGATCATATTTCTAAGTCCTGTGTTGGTAAGCTTGAGGAGATGAAGAAATGAAAATATAATCATTTTTAAAAAGCGTGTGGCTTCCATCCTTCACCTTCAAGGCAGTGGTGCTACTAAAATCAAAAGGTGTTGATAGTGTCCTAAGTGGAAACACGTAGTCATTCTTTCCAGGTATCCATAATATGAAAAGGTTGGAACGTACGACACCAGGGTTAGGAATGAGATAGCACCTTTGCCAAAAAGGAGAGAAGATCTTTTAAGGATGGGTACAGCATTCTGGACTGCCCACCTTGGCATTCAGATTTCTCTTCTTCCTGGGACAGTGGGCTACTCTCACCATGGCTAATCTGTCATCCAGCAGAAGGAATTATAAAGAGAAAGAACATTCCTTGTGAAGAAGACAGAGGAAGCCTTCGTGGTAGTAGCTGGCTTGTTAAGATACTTGAGATGACTCTTGAGAACAAAATGTGGCTCGATCTGAAGCACACGGTATATGGACAGCCGTCCATCTAATAGAAGATGAGACTTGAAAAGTAAAGTGGGGGGTAGGGGTGCCTCAAGGATCTACAATGAGCAGTGGGGCAGCTCCTTCAGGATTCTGAGTAGGAAGTAACAGGTTTTGAAGACAGGCCCCCTAACACTCTAGAACGGGTCTGAGAGTCCCAGAGCCTGGTCTGAATTCTAGCCCTGCCCCTCTACAGGCATGGGACACCCAGCAACTTCCTCTCTCTGAGCTTCCTCCTTCTGTTGTACAAACTATTTTCTCTTTGGAGAATGAGGTGGTGGTGTGTGTCAAGTTCCTAGCATCTTTGATTCATGGTTGGGACTCCCTAAAAGAGGGTTCTGTGATGATGGCAGCGCATGTGGTGGGAGCCGGGCTAGAGAAGGACCCTGCCACAGTCGGGTGAGGGAGGGGCTGGAGGTACTCCCTGTATCTCCCTAGTTGCCTTTACTTGGCCTGAATTCATCATCATAATTGTAGTCCTGTCCGTGCGCGGTGAGGAAAACTTAAGAATCTGACACAGGTAATATGATCCTAGAGCTAATTTTCATGGTATTGATCACCACCCATTGTTGCAAATCTTTCTCAATAGTTATCATTGTTTTAGTGTAAGAATTTTAGGCTCAGTTTACAGATTGTGTTGCTTTTATTTATTTATTTTTAGTTTTTTTGAGAGAGTGTGTGTGTGCAAATGGAGTGGGGGGAGGGGCAGAGGGTGAGGGAGGCAGAGAATCTTAAGCAGGCTCCATGCCCAGCACAGAGCCCGAGGTGGGGCTCCATCTCATGACCCTGAGATTGTGACCTGAGCCAAAATCCAGAGTCGGACACTTAACCAACTGAGCCACCCAGATGCCCCCAGACTATGTTTCTTTTAAAAAGTTGTTCACGATAGCAGCCTGGCTGAAGTGACAGGAGGGAAGCCATGGGGCCTGGTATGCAGAGCTTGGGGCCATGGTCTGGGGCTGGACAGGTCTGTGGACTACCTGCAATGCAGCTCGTCCAGATGGGATGGGCTGCAAATGTAAAAGGCATGTCAGATTTTGAAGACTTAGTACAAAATTAGGAATAGAAATATCTCATTAAAAAAAAAAGTTGTTTAGTTGAGAAACAAGACCTGTCCCCTGAGGGTAGTTACTAGAAATCCAGATTTGCAAGTCCTTGCAAAAGGCAAGAGCACTCTCCCACTGCGATCTCAAACCAGCCTTCCTCCTTCCCAGCACACTGGCCTCTTTTTTTGTTTGTTTTACAAATATTTTTTTATTAAGATTTTATTTATTTATTTATTTGTCAGAGAGAGAGAGCACAAGTAGGGGGAGTGGCAGGCAGAGGGAGAAGCACACTCCCCACTGAGCAAGGAGCCTGATGGCGGGATTTGATCCCAGGACCCTGTGATCATGACCCAAGCCGAAGGCAGAGGCTTAACTGACTGAGCCACCCAGGTGTCCCCACACTATCTTCTTTGACTTTGCTTTCTTGTTAATTCTACCAGTAACGGGATTTTCCAAGTCATCACTGACTTCATCCTCCATTGCTCTGTCAGCTCGACTTGCACAAACAACATCCTTGAATTTCAGTTCTCCTCGCCATTCCCTGGTGTGGCACCTCGGTACCAGTCTCTGCAACCAACCCTCCGTCTCCTCAGTCTCATTCAGGGAAGATCAGAGCCTGTATCTGAGAGGGGTACATACAAGTGAGCTGCCTCAAGGATGAACGGATGCAGGGGAGGAATGTCCCTGGGGCTGACCACAAAGTCTAGAAGCAGACGGAAGCTCTCCAGACCCTTGGCAATGCCTGGCAGACCCCTAGCTTGTTGACTGATTCATCAGGGAAGAGAGGCAGCACCTGGCCACGGCAATGCAGGTGGTCCAGACGAGGGGAGTGCAGGCAAGTGGGCAGCGGGGAGCCAATTGCAGGTGTGCGTGTGCACCCGAGTGTGTGTCCGTCCCCAGTGGGAGGCGATGCCACACAGCAGGGCATTCCTCTGGAGTGCGATGCTGGAGGTGTGTCTGTTGCCCAATGCTGGGGGGTGGGGGGGCGGTTTGAGTGGGGCCCTGGAGAAAGGCCACCTTGTCTGAGAAATGTGCGTGAGCTGTGTAAGAACCTGGATACCGTCTGGTACTTCGGCCTCCTATGCTGTGGTCAGAGTGCTTGCAGGCAGAGAACATGAGGTCACCCAGTCTAGGGCACTTTCCTGGTGTGTGTACTTGGGGGAGAGGGGTGGAGGGAGAAAGTCTTGAGGAAGCAAATATAAACTTTGTACACGCATGAGTCTTTCTTATTAGACTACAAAAACCAAAACCAAAAACCCAAACCAAAAAAACCCCACTAAACCACCGGAAGCCTTGGAGCGGCTGCTGGACTACCAGGCCCAGCAGCTACCCTCCAACGGCTGAACTGTTCTACTGCTCTTGCCTTAGCCAACACTGATCTGGCACAACCTGGACAGATGGCACTCGTCCTATCATTTTTCAGCCGTGGCTACGGAGCCAAAAGGAGGGAAACGCCAAGAAAAGAAAGGTACTTGGGCCTCCTGTCCACAAGAAAGCCCTGAAAATGACACTTTTTCCCTCAAACACCCACTGAACACCATTTTCCAGGGAGAAGTCTTTACCATCTGATCTGGCTGTTGCTACGAAAATCAGTAAGGGGGGGGAATAAGCCAGTGGTGATAACGCACAAACTCACAATTTACAGGAGTCTAATGAGAAAGGGATTCCATTGAAAAAATGCTAAACCTCCACAAGAGGTAGTGGCATAAAGCTGTCTGGAAATTTTCATCTACTGAATGATCTGAGTTGCTTTCATAAACACTTAGAAAACTATCTCTGGTTGAGCTGCACCATGAGAAAGATTTCCACAGTGTGGATTAATGTTTACTAATCATTACAGAAACAAGATGGTTCTAGGGGCTAGGTGGGGTCAGCTGACTTAGCCTTCCAGTGGGTAAGTGAGGTAGGGCAGGAGGCCTGCGGTGAAAGCCTGAGGAATGTGGAGTAAAAATACCTGGGCAAATACCCTAGCTTTACTGACTTTCTAGCTAAATGACCTTGGCGCCAGGTGCTTAGCCTCTTCCAACCTCAGTTTTCCCATCTGTAAAATGGGAGTAAGTTTACACGTTTTATCTACTCAGAGGTCATTCTTTTTCTTCTGCCTCGCACATCCCACATCCAGCTCATCAGCAAATCCTGACTCCCCCTGAGAACAGGTGCAGAATCTGGCTTGTTCTCACTGCTCTCCCATCTCTCCAGCCAGGTCACCCCAGCAGCCCCTCCCCGCTAGCTGTGATTCTCCCCAAAGTAGCTAGAGCCATCCTGTCACTCCACCACTCCAAACCATCCAGGGGAGAAAGCCCAAGACCCTGAAGATGGGCCCCCCAACCCCACCTCAAACACACTCTGCACTTTCCAGCCCTGTCACTCAGCTCCGGCTCTGCTGGCTGCTCTCTTCCTGGCCCGGCTCTCCCCCATCCGGGGTCGCTGTTCCCTGGGCCTGATATCCTCCCCCAAGCACACGAGACTCAGGCAAGTCCCTCCCTGACCAGCCCGTTCAAAACCACCCCTCTCTCCACCCCTGCTCTTCTTTCCGGATTCATTTCTCTCCACAGCATCTCTGACCATCTAATATACTTTGTGTGTTGTCTGTCTCTCCCACTAAAATGCAAACTACATAAAGGCAGTGATTTTGTCAGCTTTGTTCTTAACTGTATTTCTAGTACCCGGACACTGCCTGGCACACACAGGCACTCACTATTTCCTGGCTGGATGGATGAAAATACAACCAACACATAGTCCAAGAGCAGGGCTTTGGGGCAGGCAGACTTGGCTTCAAATAACAGTGCTGCATAAAAATCATTTCTGGTGTTTTGTTTGTTAGTAGTTTGAGTCCTTGGTCAAGTTTCTTTCTCAATGTTTCATCTGCCAAACTGTCCAATACAGATAGTAATAGGCATCGCCCGGGGTGATCTGTAAATCCTCAACAAGTAACTTATCGTTACATTACTGTGAACCTCAGGTGAAATGATACATAAAAGCACTATCTGAATAAACTGAAAAACATTGCACAAGTGCAAGACGGTTTCCCTCAGCATCACAATGCGCCAGGCACAGAGTGTTGTTTCACGTGACTCGGCTCATATAATCCTCACGGC